GGAATAGTGCCCCATCGTTGGTGTCAGTGGGGGGAGGAATAGTGCCCCATCGTTGGTGTCAGCGGGGGGAGGAATAGTGCCCCATCGTTGGTGTCAGCGGGGGGAGGAATAGTGCCCCATCGTTGGTGTCAGCGGGGGGAGGAATAGTGCCCCATCGTTGGTGTCAGCGGGGGGAGGAATAGTGCCCCATCGTTGGTGTCAGCGGGGGGAGGAATAGTGCCCCATCGTTGGTGTCAGCGGGGGGAGGAATAGTGCCCCATCGTTGGTGTCAGCGGGGGGAGGAATAGTGCCCCATCGTTGGTGTCAGCGGGGGGAGGAATAGTGCCCCATCGTTGGTGTCAGCGGGGGGAGGAATAGTGCCCCATCGTTGGTATTAGTGACACAAATGATGGGGCACTATTCCTCCCACTGACACCAATGATACTTACCTTGCTGACTCCTGCTCCAGCCTGGGCTCGCTCTCTCCCTCTCCCATCTACAGCCTGCAGAAGCAAAATTTGCACTTACCTGTCAGCTGTCTTCCTTCTCTGGCCTCTCTCCTCTTCACTCGGTCCTGCAGCTCCCTCGATCTTCTTCGATCTGCGCGCTCTGCCGCTCGGCTCCTCCTCTCCAAGCTCCACCTCCTCGCCGGTGATTGGCCGCCTGTGTGCCTCTCCTGAGCTACAGTTCTGGTGGCCAATCAGCGGCGAGGAGGCGGAGCTGTTTGAGTGATCCCGGAGGTGTGGCCAGGTTACAGGGGCAGCATATCATCCCGCCCACAGATCGCGAGACAGAGCAGCGGTGTCTCGGTTCCTAAGACCATCGGAAATATGTTTTCCGATGGTCTTAGGTGACCCCTGGGAAATGGTCGTTCGACCCCCAAAGGGGTCGCGACCCCCAGGTTGAGAACCGCTGATTTAAGAGAACAAAATTAAATCGGATTTTTATTATTTTTATGAAATGTATTTTAATAAAATGCTTTTGGAGTAAAAATCTATCTAAAGATATTTTCTATTTAAGATGCATTAATAATTTATTTTATTCAGCATGAAATGGAGATTAGTTACAGTGCATTCAGAAAGTATTCACAGCGCTTAACTTTTGCCACAATGTGTTATGTTACAGCCTTATTCCAAAATGGATTAAATTCATTTTTTCCTCAACATTCTAAAAACAATACTCCATAATGACACTGTGAAAGAAGTTTGTTTTGAAATCTTTGCAATTAAAAATAAAAAACAAAAAAAACCCACATGTATACAAGAATGGCATTTGCTCTTTAAAAATTTGATTTAAATCAAGCCTTTTCACTATTGATTTAAACAATGGTTTAAATCGTGATTTAAATCAACCTGATTTAAATCAAATCCACCCTGACGCCATTACTAGTATAAAATAAATACATTTAAAAAAATCTAGTATAGATCAGTTTTTAGGTACTATACATTTTGCACAAACCAATTAATATACCCCTATTGGGATTTTTTTTTTCCAAAGACATGTAGCAGAATACGTTTTGGCCTGAATTTATGAAGAAACTTGATTTTTTTTTTTTTTTTTTTTTCATTGGATAGGTTTTATAACAGAAAATATTTTTATTTCAAAATTTGTGGTCTTTTTTTTCGTTTATATAATAAAACAAAAACACAGTGGTGATAAAATACCACTAAAATTTCTATTTGTGTGAAAAAAATAATATACATTTCTTGTGGGTGCAATGTTATATGACCGCACAATTGCCAGTTAAAGTAGCACAGTGCTGAATAGCGAAAAATGGCCTAGTCTTGAAGGGGGGTAAAATCTTTCAGAGCTGAAGTCGTTAAAGTGAAATTAAACATAACTTTTTTTTTTTTTTTTTTTTTATGTAGAAGAGACATGGAATGTCTCTTTTGCAATAACAAAAACCTGCCTCCTTGCAGTCTTCTATTGAATGCACACCGAGCTGCGCATTTGTAGCTTAGCTTGTGTTCCAGCACAATTTTTTTTAATTGTTATGGGGTGTATGTGGGAACATAGCCACCCTGTTTTGCTTGCTCCTGAGATGGGCTAGGGATTATTGGATTCGTAGTATGGATGTGTGTGGAAATTACCTACCATATGTGACGATATTTTAGGTGACAGGTTCTCTTTAATGAGACATCAGGGGTCTCATCTATCCTACATTGAATACAATGCAGGCTGGGAAAGGTGAAAGGGGACTCCTGGAAGTAAGTTTTGAGGTTTTACATGACCACAGTCAGCAAGAAGAAAGGAAGGCAAGTGGGAGCATATCCTAACTGATCCATCCGCTCTACGCTGCGGCACCTGCCATGTCAGTCCTGGGTAAACCAACAAACGTGCGGAGCCCAGGATACCATGGGGGGCACCATTTTCAGGGGTGTCTAGAAGTAATTGGGCAGCTGCTCAGCCGCCAGATCGCTCCCATTTTACAGCCAGCAGTCTGCATGTGAAATATACACGCAATCGGAGCTGGCAGTAAAAGGGTTAAAGAAGCCTGTGTCCTGTACTTCATTCTATGAATTGCCTCTTAAGACAGTGACAGACTGTTCCATCTTTCACAACATACAGTTAGGTCTATATATATTTGGACACGGGCACACTTTTCATATTTTTGGCTCTGTATGCCACCAGAATTAAGTAAAACGAAACAATCCAAATGAATCTGAATGTGAAACTTTCAGCTTTAATTCAAGGGTTGAAGGTAAATATCAAGTACAAATTTTAGGAACTGCAACCATTTTTATACACAGTCCCTCCATTTTCAGGGGCTCAAATGTAATTGGACAATTGAATATAATCATAAATAAAATGTTTAATTTTTTTTATATTTTGTTGAGAATCCTTTACTGGAAAAGACTGTCTGAAGTCAGGAACCCATGGACATAACCAAAGACTGGGTTTCCTCCTTTCTGATGCTTTGCCAGGCTCTAACTGCAGCTGTCTTCAGTTGTTCTTTGTGGGTGTTTCTGCCTTTAGTTTTGCATTCAGCAAGTGAAATGCATGCTCAATTGGGTTGAGATCAGGTGATTGACTCGACCATTGCAGAATATTTCACTTCTTTTCCTTCAAAAGCTCCTGGGTTGCTTTTGCGGTATGTTTTGGATCATTGTCCATCTCTACTGTGAAGCGCTGTCCAATCAACTTTGCTGCATTTGACTGAATCTGAGCTGACAGTATATCTCTAAACAGTGCAGAATTCATCCGGCTGCTTCTGTCTTCTGTCACATCATCAATAAACACCAATGACCCAGTGCCACTGGAAGCCATGCATGCCCATGCCATCACATTGTCTCCACCATGTTTTACAGATGACGTTGTGTGCTTTGGATCCTGAGCTGTCCTAAGCTTTCTCCACTTTTTTCTTCCCGTCATTCTGGTACTAATCATCTTAGTTTCATCCGTCCAAAGAATGCTATTCCAGAACTGGTCTTGCTTTTTTAGATGTTTTTTGGCAGTCTAATCTGGCTTTTTCTGTTCTTCAGGCTTATGAATGGTTTGCACCTTGTGGTGAACCTTCTGTATTTGCTTTCGTGAATTCTTCTCTTGACTGTAGACTTTGACAATAATGCACCCACCTCCTGGAGAGTGTCCTTCACTTGTCGATTTTGTGAATGGGTTTTTCTTTACCATAGAGAGGATCCTGCGATCATACATCACCGTTGTCTTCCGTGGATGTCCATGCCTTTTTATGCTGCTGAGCTCACCAGTGCATTCTTCTTTCCTCAGAATGTACCAAACTGTTGATTTGGCCACTCCTAATGTTGCTGCCATCTCCCTGATAGATTTGTTTTGTTTTTGAAGCCTTACAATGGCCTGTTTCATTTGCAGGGACAGCTCCTTTGAAAGCATGATGTAGGTTCACAGCAATAAATTCCAAATGCAAATACCACACTTAGAATCCACTCAAGACCCTTTACCTGCTTAATTGATGAAGAAATAACGAAGGAGTAGCCCACATGTGGCCATGAAACCGCTTTTGATTCAATTGTCCAATTACTTTTGGTCCCTTGAAAAATGGGGGGATGGCTACTCTTAGGAGCTGTAATTCCTAAACCTTCCTCCAATTTGGATGTACATACCCTCACATTAAACCTGAGAGTGTGCACTTTCAGTCCATATGCATTATATAAATAAATAATTTGCGCTAGTAAATGTGTATAAAAAGAAATCATCAAATCATAAGTCCAGAAAAAAAATATATATATGCCAATACCACAAAAAAAATTAAAAAAAACTTTTAAGTGCAAAAAACTTTTGTGCAAAAAAAGTGTCTAAATATGAAAAATTTTCACCAAAAAACCTTGATAATATAATGGCAGATCATCCATAAATATATCTTCAGAAACGAAAACTCTGCAACACATCGATCCTCATCGATCGAAATAACAGGATGAAAAACTTTGTAGTTAATCGAAAATCCACTTCTCCAATAGATAAAGGACCACCTTCAAACGTATCCATGGGGGGAAATGCCAAGCACTCGAGAGAAACAGAAAGACTTCATGGTGCAATATTATAAAAACCAATTCCTTTGCTAGGTACTCATTGCACTTACTCAAGAGGTGTCCCAGCCGACACCAGCATCAACAGCATAACAGCAATCACATAAACGAGCCTGGCTACTCAGCACATGCGCAGTAGCTGGCAGCCAAAAACGTAATGACGTCACATCAATCAAGCTCCGCCCAGGGAGTCAGGCAACATAACAAGTAAAGAATATGGTATTTTTTTTATTTTATTACTGTGTACTATATATAAACTGTAAAATCTGCCCTTTAACAGCATACACTGGAGAGCCAGACTCCAGCATTCTCGATTCTCCTGCACAGTGCGTGCATGAGCAGTGTTGTGGATTTGTTTTTTCAATCTGTGTCTAGCACCCAAAGGTTCCTTTCAAATATGTTCATAATTTTTCTAATTTCATTTTAGAACTTTTTTCACCACCACAGACTATTATTCTAATTTGACATACACACACACATATATATATATAATTTTTTATTTTTATTTTTTCTTTAAAGGCAATGGTGGCTTGCTACCCTGGCAAAGGGACAGGCTATGTACGACATGTTGACAATCCTAATGGAGATGGAAGATGTGTTACTTGTATATACTATTTGAATAAAAACTGGGATGCAAAGGTATGTAAAACTCTGCTTTTATGTAGCCCTTTTTTCTGGTCTGCTCTTTTATTTTTTTTTAAAAGACCTTTTAGTATATTGCATTCATTTAAAAAAGGAAAAAAAAAGAGAAAACTGGTGATCCTGCTCTGAATGTCCTTGTTCAGGCTCTCTCTGCTATAAGGTGGCAGTGTTCTGTTGTGGTTTCCCAATTGTTTTCCTGTTTTGTCACACTCTCCCAATGGAAGACTGCAGGCAGCCCTGCTTTTGTCTATGTTCCACTGTTGTCGCAGTTAGGAAACTCACTCTAAGCAATACATCGTGAAGTGGTTTTAAAGCCTAGTTTTTTTTTTTTTTTTGTTTCTTTTTGGTTCTTTACCTGGATGCATTTGCTGCATTAGGCTCTGTTCACACTGGCTTTAAATGCAAGAGTTTGAGACTGTCCGCAAACTCGCTTCATGTAGAGTTTGAAAGGAGTTGAAGCATCTTCTTCTTCTATTCAAGTCTATGGTAGCACACCATAAACTCACTGGCATGTGTTTGCAGGGAGTTAGGCCTTGCTCACAGCAGCAAAGAAAAAACCTAGGCATCTGTGTAGCGTTTTTAACGCTCATTAAATTCGTGGATTCGTGGAAAAGCGCATAGGGCATTTGGGGAGCATTTTTAACTTATCTTTAATGCGCGTTAAACACTGTGCAAACTCAGCTAACAACTCACATTAACTCTTAGGTGTGTTTGTTAAGTGTCAGTATTTTGACCAAGTGCGAACAAGGCCATTAGGTAAAAAAAACCACCCCACTATTTTCCTCTCTCCCCCTAAACACCCACCTGAGCCTGTCAGTGATCCAGTGCTGTCCTGGCTTCAGGTTTTCTCTCCCCTCTCTTCCTCTTCTCAAAGGGTCAAGAGCAGAAGTAGGAGCCATTGACTCATTGGGCTGCACGTGTCTATAGACGCACACAGCCTGGCTCGGGAGCAAGCTCGCAGGTGTGCCCCCATAGCAAGCGGCATGCTATGGGGGCACACAGAGGAGGAGCCTGGAGCGCCAGCGGCTGACCCCTAGAAAAGGTTTGGGGGTGCTGTGTGCAAAACCATTGCACAGAGAAGGGGAGTATGATATGGTTGTTATTTTTAATTAAATACAATTCTAGCCTCTACAATCACTTTAAGAGCATTTTGCTTTCAAGCGCTGTTGATTGGAGAACTATAGGTCAGCATGTCATACCGTTACAGAAAGTATTGCTGCTTTCAGAGTGCAGGGGTCTGCTGCATTCTTTGAGGAAAAGATTTCGGCTCTGGGGCTGAGGGATGATTTGCAAAGAAAACAAAAGCTAGGACTTCAATCAAAAAATCACTGCGCTTAAGTGAAAAAAACAAAAAGCTGCCAGCACTGAAATTTGTGATAGCAGATATATAAGCAGTTAATACAGTGCAGAGCTAATGGTCAAAATCACCGTATAAATTTATAAAGATGACCTGTATATGATATTTCTAAATCCCATCAACTTGTCAAACAATTTTTTAGGTCATCTTTATAATTTTATTTATATGGTGGAACATTAGCGCTGCAATGTATTAATAAAAGTTGGGACTTGGCTCTTACTATCGTTTTACACCCTGTTGTCTTTTGTAGTTTGACTATGCTATAGTAGTGTAAAGTCGTGTACCGTTTTCACTAAACCTTATATGTAATGTTCTCTTGGTCTTTCCATAATGAAGAAGGTTACAATGACACTTTGTTATTTGTAAAAAAAAAAAAAAAAAAAGTCACTGGAGGAATGTGTAAACTGGTTTGTTTTATTTGTTTGTATTTGCCCTTTTCCTTCAGTAAAGATCTTCAGCCATGTGCAATGAAATTAGACACTATTTTTTTCCTTTTTCTATATCAAACAAATCTAGATGATAATGCCTACTATGTTCTATGGTTACAGGGTAAAGCTTATCCCCTCCCCCAATCTTGAAGACTTTTTATATGTGTTTGAGGTGGGAATAACAACAAATATTATTGCAGTGGGGCTTCCACCACACTGCAAGGGTTAAATGCTTATGTTGTGGGTTCCAGTAAAAAGGACTTGTTGCTTACATAACCCCTTGCTGCTGCAGGCTTCATCCATGCATTAAGACCAGCTGCCACAACAGCCCTTTGTGTCTCCAGTGGTCTCGGGCACTGTAATGTCATCAAGCACAGTGCAGGGCCAATGGCCCTTTATTGTATGTGAGGACACCAAGGGACTGCCCACAAGCCAGAGTGTTGGATGCAAGGGTTAGGTAAGTAAAAGCACTTTTTATAAATGCCATAAGCATACATGAGTATTTAACCCTTTTGAGAGGGGTGCCCCACTTCAAAAATTTTTTATATTTTTTTGCTTTCTTTGGATTTCAACTTTAACGACTAACTCTCGGTTTTTATGAACTGTAAATAGTTTGTTTGGACCAAACATACTATTTCCTTACTGATTTCCTTCATTGCATATGTTAACCGCATGCCGCCCAGCCACTGTACATATACGGTGGCAGGGCGGCACTTACAGGCAAAACCACGTTTTAAAACGTGTGTTTTGTAAACAAATAGGGGGCGCGCTGCCGCCCTATTTGTCCTGTGGATCACCGCCGCAGATGTCAGTTGCCGGGTCACAGCCGCTCGTTAGTGGCTATGTCCCGGCGATAGGCAGTAAACGGTGACAGAGAGCACAGCTGCAGTAGCTGTGCTGTCTCTCACCTCTCTGTCAGCTCGAGGATGAGCTGATCGAGAGAATAGTTTCACTTTCTTGATCAGCCTTGTCCCGCCCAGTACACCCCCCCGCTCCCTAGTAAAACACTCCCCTCACTCCTATAACCCTTCCCTGCTAAATAAAGTTACCCCTTCCTCCCCATTGCCATTAGTACAGTGTATTTTTGCACTGATCACTGTATTAGTGTTTTTGGGGATGTCAGAATGTCCGCCGCAGTCCCGCCATAAGTCGCTGGTCGCTGCCATAAGTCGCTGCCATAAGTCCCTGATCACCGCCGTAATTCGCTGATCGCCACCATTATTAGTATAAAAAATCCCCTAAAAATCCCAGTATCTTTCCCGTGATTTGTAAACGCTATAACTTTCACGTAAACCAATTAATTTACATGTATTGGGGTTTTTTTTAGCAAAGACATGTCGCAGAATGCATTTTGGCAGAATTTATGACTAAATTTGATTTTTGCATTTTTTTTTTACTGGACATGTTTTATAGCAAAAAGTCCAAAATATTGTTTTTTTTTCCTCAAAATTGTCAGACTTTTTTTTTTTATAGCGCAAAAAATAAAAACCGCACAGGCGATCAAATACCACCGAAAGAGAGCTCAATTTGTGGGGAAAAAAATGACTTAAATTTCATTTATGTACCATATTGCATGACTGCGCAATTGTCCGTTAAACTAGCGCAGTGCTGTATAGCAGAAAAATGGCGTAAATTGCAGTATTTATACCATAGTTTGTAGACGCTATAATTTCCACACAAAGCAATCAATATACACTTAATGGGATTTTTTTTTACCAAAAACATGGAGCAGAATACATTTTGGCCTAAATTTATAACCAACTTTGAGTTTACTATATATTTTTTATAGCTGAAAATAAAAAATATTGTTTTTCTTCAGAATTTTTGGCGTTTTTTTGTTTATAGCGTGAAAAATAAAAAGCGCACAGGTGATCAAATTACACCAAAAGAAAGCTCTATTTGTGTGAAAAAAAGGACGTAAATTTCGTTTGGGTGCAGCATTGCATGACCCGCGCAATTATCAGTTGAATTAGTGCAGCGCCAAGTAGCAAAAAGAGGCCTGGTCATTAAGGGGGGTAAATCCTCAGGAGCTCAAGTGGTTAATGAAGAAAATTAAAAATGTATTTTTTTCAATGCACTTTTATATGTGAAATTATATAATAATTGATACAGGCGTGCTGCTAAATACTTGTGTTCTCACATAGAGCTAATGAAATAACATAAAAGTGTAGTGTAGTGCTGCCAAACATATACAATAGTGGTGTCACCCTCCATGCTAATACTTATGTAAATAAACCAAGTAAGAGTGCCAAATGGTAACTGTATATACAAATAAACTGAAATAGTGAAAAGTAAAATCAATAGCAACTCATAACATGTATGTACATACCACCAGTGTTACTTTCACTAATGTGAATCATCAATTAATTGAAATCGCAGCAAAATTACACTTAAATAATGCTAGTGGAAAGCTCCTCTCCCTCATGTATGTGCAATCCAATAAGAAAAATGCAATAAAGTTAAGTATCAAAGTAATGGTGGAAACCCCCATTAATTGTGCTGAGCAAACAAAATAAGCTATATGTACTGCTGATATAACAAGATGAACTTAAAGAATAATAGTGGAAATCCCTCTCCCACACATAGCTGCCATACAATAAGACTGTTGTGTAGATTTAGATGGGATCAATCCATGATAACACTCTTTTTCTGGGTTCAATTCAAAACACAATGTGTCCCGCCACCAGCCAATTTATGCGCTCACCTTTGTTAGACCTACTGCCAGGTCTAATTGTGCTTTCCCCCTTGGAGTTTGCTATCAATGGCTGGTTGCCTTCAACAGCTCCACTCATTGAGGAACTTGCTGCAGGATAGGTAATTTTCTTCTTACAGAGGTGTGCTCAAAGGTAAAACAGCCATCGTAGTCCTAAACTGCTTGAAATCATTACTTTATTTAAAGGTAATCACTATGCACTCACATTAGATTGTGCACATGGATAATAGCGTTACATGTAGAGGTACGTGGCCCCCCCTAAGCTTATCTGAATATTGGCATCAAGTGAAATCCCAGCGTTCAAGACCTTCCTATCTGACGTGATTTTGTCAGAAGCTCCAACCAATACGTTTCGTCACAGGTCACTTGAATTCCTCTAGGAGTGGGAGTCACAACGCCATCTCTTTGCTTTTTATATCTGACATAATTTGTGTATGTTACTATAGCAACAAGCAACATTTTGTCTAGGTCTGCATCCCAGCTTAAAGCCATATTGGAGACCAAACATGTAAGGAAATCTGGGCTAGTTATCAGAAAGAGGGCTAAAACTGAGCATTAAGAAATGTGCATAAAAAGTGTAGTAATTGAGAATGTACACTCAAAAAAATTAAAGCAAACACTTTGAAAACACATCAGATCTCAATGCGGAAAAACATCATGCTGGATATCTATACTGATAATGACTGGGTAATGTATTCAGAATGTAAGGTTGCCCCATCATTTGATGAAAATGATCAACCTACAGAGGACTGAATTCAAAGACACCCCGAAAATCAAAGCGAAAAAATGATGCAGCGGGCTAGTCCATTTTGCTGCAATTTCATTGCAGCACCTTAAAAATGGTACTCCAGTAGTTTGAATGGCCCCCACATACTTGTATGCATGCCTGACAATGTTGGGGCATGCTCCTAATGAGGGGACGGATGGTATCCTGGGGCATCACTGAGCTCATGGACAGTCTGAGGTGCAACCTGGCAGTGTCAGATGGACCGAAACATGATATCCCAGAGGTCTTCTATTGGATTTAGGTCAGGCAAGCATGAGCTGGACATTGGCATGCATCAGGAGGAACCCAGGACCCACTGCACCAGCGTAGAGTCTGACAATGGGTCCAAGATTTCATCTAGATACCTAATGGCAGTCAGGGTGGCATTGTCTTGCCTGTAGAGGTCTGTGCGTCCCTCCATGGATATGCCTCCCCAGACCATCACTGACCCACCACCAAACGGTCATGCTGAACGATGTTACAGGCAGCATAACGTTCTCCATGGCTTCTCCAGACTTCTTTCACAACTGTCACATGTGCTCAGGGTGAACCTGCATTCATCTGTGAAAAGCGCAGGGCGTCAGTGGTGGACCTGACAACTCTGGTGTTCAATGGCAAATGCCAGTTGAGCTCTATGGTGCTGGGCAGTGAGCACTGGACCCACTAGAGGACTCTGGGCCCTCTTGCCACCCCCATGAAGTCTGTTTCTGATTGTTTGGTCATAGACATTCACACCATGGAGGTCATTTTGTAGGGCTCTGGTAATGCTCATTCTGTTTCTCCTTGCACAAAGGAGCAGATACCAGTGCTGCTGATGGGTTAAAGACCTTCTATGGCCCTGTCCAGCTCTCCTAGAGTAACTGCCTGCCTCCTGGAATCTCCTCCATACTCTTGAGACTGGAGGAGATTCCTTCTGGCAATGGCACATATTGATGTGCCATCCTGGAGGATTTGGACTGCCTGTGCAACCTCTGTAGGGTCCAGGTATTGTCTCATGCTACGAGTAGTGACACTGACCCTAGCTAAATGCAAAACTAGTGAAAAACAGTCAGAAAAGATGGGTAGGGAAAAAATGTCAGTGGCCTCCACCTGTAAAACCATTCCTGTTTTGGGGGTTGTCTCATTGTTATCCATCTAGTGCACCAGTTGTTAATTTCATTAACACAAAAACAGCTGAAACTGATTACTGAAGTTACTGCTACTTAACTGACCAAATCAATATCCCAGGAGTTTTAATTGACTGGATGCTATACTCAGATTAAAAGTGTTCCTTTTAATTTTTTTGAGCAGTGTATATACATACATAATTTAAAATACTACATAAAATGTGTATAAAAAGCACTAACACAGAAAGAAAGCTTTAAAAACTAACTCCAGGATTTAGTGAACTGTGAATAGTTTGTTTGGACCAAACTAACTATTTCCTTGACTTATTTCCTTCCCTGCATGTGTTAATGAAAAAAATTAGTTCACTAAAACCTTGAGGTAGGTTTTAAAGCAGCCATTCTCAACCAGGGTTCTGTGGGAACCTTGTGGTCCCTCAAGAGGTTGCCAGGGATCCTTGAGCTGTGGCTGACTGGCCTTCTATCTGTTGGTACCTGACTAGTTCTGGGTCCAGTGTCATTTAGTAAAGCCAGCTGCATGACACCAGTTATCTTTTTATCTGTCTGTGAGGGGGGCATTCTTCCCACTGACCACCAATGTAAGAATTATTTTTCCCACTGACCACCTTAATTTTATTAGGGGTTCCCTGAGACCTGAAAAAGTATTGCAAGGGTTGAGAGAGGCTGCTATCAGACAGAAGTATTACAAATATAATGGTTTTGGTTGTGCTGTTTTCTTCATAAAAAGTATAGTTACCATTTTTTAAGAGGCATATAGCATTTTGGAGAGTAAGGGAAGCTATAACCCTCAACAGTTTATTTTGCCATCTGTGTCCCATTGTGGAGATTTTCCTTCACTTCCTGTCCCGTAGCCAAAACAAGAAGTGAGGAAATCCCTCCAAAGTAAGAGGTTTCCAGGGTGTTACTATAATGGTAAACGGGACAAATGGGTTTTGTTGTATCCCCATCATGAAGATTCATCCTGATGGGCTCCAGTTCCTCTCCATGTTCTCTCCACTCTGTCCAATACAAAAAACACACCCTTTATTATAAGTGTGTGGAATGCGCAAGTGCCGTATTCATTAAATACGCCTTACATGTTTTACTACAAAGTGAGCTGCTTTTGTCAAGTCTCCATCTCCAACAGGTTTTTTTTTTTTACTGCAGAAATAGGACAAATTGATTATGCCATATAATTATTGTGGTGGAGTACTGGTTCAACTATTGACTACAAGTATTTGCTTGCATCTGAGATCCTGTTATTTGATAGTGTTTTATTTATTTTTTTTGAATGCAAAATCACTGTAACGGAAAATACAGCAATCTGCTATCATGCTCTTTCTGTGAAAAAGCTGCAAGAAGTACAAAAACTGGTGTGTGTGTGTTCTTAACAGGACTGACATCTTTTCATACTTTTTCAGGAAAATGGTGGAGTTCTAAGAATTTTCCCTGAAGGCAAATCTCAGTTTGCTGATATTGAACCAAAATTTGACAGACTATTGTTTTTTTGGTCTGATCGTCGAAACCCTCATGAAGTTCAACCTGCCTTTGCTACAAGGTAAATATACTCGACTGTATTTAGGTTAAAGTACAACTAAAGGCAAAACTTGTTTTGTTTTAAAGGGATTCGAATCCTGTCAGTTTTTATTACTTTCTATGCCCCCTTTAGCGAGATTCACCCTCTCTATTTGTCTTGTTTACCATTATCATTGAAAGTAAAAGAAAATCCAAAATTGTAGGTTGTCCCAAGAAAAGTAACAGGAAATCTTCCAATAGGGACACTAGTTCTGGGACCTGGGGGTCCTCTTGGAATTTCTTTAATTTGCAGGGATTTCCTGTACCCCTTTGTGGAAACCGTATTCCTGATGGCAGTGGCCTCTCTCTCAGCAGAATAATTTACCCTGCCACATTACAAAAATGATTCAAGAATGGTTTAAGGTGCTGACTTGGCCTCCAAATTCTCCAGTTCTCAATCCAACCTAACATCTGTGGGATATGCTGGAAAAACAAGTCTGATCTATGGAGGTCCCAACTTGCAACTTACAGGACTTAAAGGATCTGCTACTAACTGCTTGGTGACAGATACAACAGCATAATTTCAGAGGTCTAGAGGGGTTCATTACTCAATAGGCCAGGGCTGATTTAGTGGCAAAAGGGGGAACCTACTCAATATTAGATGGGTGGTCATAAAGTTTTGGCTGATAGGGGTGTGTGTATGTATGTGTATAACACACTCCCCCCCCCCCCCCCCCCAATGATTAGGTGCAGGAACACACTGAACCATGTCTCAAAACCCCAAAAAAATTTTGCCCAAATTTCAATAACAGTTGGAGGATCTTAAAGGAGCATTAAATATCGGAGTGCATTTTGTACAGAGTGCAGTGTTCAAGGGTGCGCTACAATGGTGCAATATGTACAGCTCAACAGTGCAATACATACAGAGTGCAGATTTCAGCCCTCTTCCACAACTTCTAACCTCTGCATCTCCCATCTATATCTTGCTTTCACACCTCCTCAGCTCTGACCTCTGCACTCAGCCCCCTCCACTGCCCTTATCTTCTCCCCCTCCTACAAGGCGCTTCTTTGCGCATGCGCACTTGGCACCCGGCTGTCAAGCCCAGTGCCCACACTACAGAAGCCGGGAAGACAGTGCGCCACTGGATAGAGAAACAGGTAAGGTCCCGCTACAGAGCTGAGCGGCCGGCCCGGTATTCTGACACGGCGGTGGAAATACCGGACCGGCCGCTCCATATTCGCTCCGTAAGACGCACTGACATTTTCCCCCCTTTTTTGGGGGGAAAAAAGTGTGTCTTATGGAGCGAAAAATACGGTAGTTGGTTGCTAAAGAGTTCAGAGAATAGGGCAGATAAAAAAGGTAAGTGGGGAGTATGAGGGGGAAGAAGCCACTAGAAGGGTGTAGAAGGGTATAGGGAGGGAAGGGGGTGTCCTCGGGGGGAGACGGGGCCTATTGAAAGGGGTCGCTGAAGATATAGCATGTATAAATCAGAGGTCAGCTAGGGGAGAACCAGTGTGGTGTCAAAATTAGGTGGGAGGAAGTGTGTGTTTTTTTGCGATTTTCAGATTCAGTAAAGCCATAGTGGGGTCAGGGGTAATAGGTGTATCAAAAAGTTTGGTTGGGATTGCAAAGATATCAGACCAGAAAGTCTGTACAACAGGGCATTCTCACCAGATGTGAAGGTGGGAGCCAGTGGAGTTAGTCTTGGAAACAATGAGGTGAGTGATGTGTGAGAAATTTGACGGTGGCGGAAGAGTTCGGAAGATGGGATGCCAAATGATTTGATGGGAATGGTAGGAATGTAGCTGATGGAAAAATTGATGTGCTCAGATCAAGCCTGCCGAGCACCAAACCAAAAAGAAAAGGGGGGTCATCCAGGCAGGGTAAAATGATGGGTTGCAAAGGAAAGAGAGTAGAGGTATGTGCGGGAATTGTAGGGTATAGCCTGAATTATTTTGGTCCCAAAGAATGAGACTGTGGCATGTTACAGGGTTGGTGAGAGGGCGGCGGTGGGAAGAGTGAGCCAAAGGAGGTTAGCCAATGATAGGGGGGTCACAATGGACCGAACATCATCCGCAAAGAGACAAAGCTTATGTTGGACTTCACCAAGCTCTATACCCTTTATGTCAAGGTCAGCCCAGATCAGGTGAGCTAAAGGCTCGCTGGCCAGGGCAAAGAATAGGGGGGAAAGTGGACACCCCTGTTTTGTGCCTCTTTCAATAAAGTGGATCTGATCTGTGGCCTGCGTAGTGTACAAAACCTTTGGGATGGGCATATAAGGTAGAAATCCACCGAATGAAGTGTACACCAAAGCTCCAGCGGCGCAGAGTGAAGTGGAGATGTGGCCAAGTGATGGTATCAAAAGCTTTGCAGATGTCAAGTGAGAGGAAGCAACATGGGATTTTGCGAGTGCTGCCGCATGGACAGGGAAAATCTTCTGGCGTATGTTGTCCCTTGCTTCCCGGGACGGAATGAAGCCCACCTGGTCCCTATGGATCAAGGTACCAATAGCTGGGTTCAGGCTATGGGAGAGAATTTTTGCAAGAATTTTGATATCAAGATTGAGGATCGAGATGGGTCTATAATTAGACCAGGTAGTATCAGAGTAAGGTTTGGGGATCATAGAGATAGATTCTGTCAAGGTCTTGGGGCGAAAAGAATGACCATCTTGGATGGAGTTGTAAACCGTAATTAGTAGTGGTGTGAGAAGATCAGCAAATTCTCTATAATAGGTAGCCCATAGGCCGTCCGGACCTGGACATTTGTGAGGTTTTAGAGCTTTGATGGCCATAAGGACTTCAGAGTCTGTAATAGGTAAAATGGGTTTCTTGTAGGCAAACTGTGTGTCTTCTTTTGGTAAGTGAAAGTCTGGAAAGCCTTGGGTCGTTTGTTCGGGGAGTTAAGTCCCTGAACATTGAGAGTTAAAATATTCAAGGGAGCCATGGGTATAGGTTATGGATTACATATCTAGGAAGTGATGCAGCTTTCAAAATACTACAGGATCATCCTGGGGAGGGGAGGGTGAAGAAAGAGAAGAGCAGAAAGAGTTAAAGGCTAAGGTCAGCAGAAAATATAATGAGTAGTGATGTGATAGTCCTAAGGATGGGAATAGAGAACTCCCAGCCCAGGACCCTGAGCTGTCCATAGAGTAGCCACATAAAGGCAGGCATGGACATAGTGGGAGGAGCAGTGACCTACCTCAGGGTTCACAGTGGCCAACAGAGAGGTGCAAGTAAGCCAATGGTTGACAATAATTGTGTAATAGATGAAAATGTAGATGAAATGGCCCAATTACATATAGGCTATGTAGGGGATAGGAGGAATGAGTGAGGGGCCAAGGCCCTACAGAAAAAAGGGGGGGTGAAAGGGAATAATCTCCAGCCTATATACATGGGATGTAACAAGATATTAAAGTTAGGTAGATATAAAGGAAGTCCCCTTAGGGCATGTTGTTGGATATGGTCTGACCAGAGCCTATAGCAGCTTAGGTAACATATAGAGCCTGGCAATAGAAACGCGTCAGTAGGAATCTCAAACAGCATTAGTAAGTTTGCCACTGAGAGGTATGCATTTGTTCTTCTTTCAACAGGAAATAGTGAGAACAGTGAAAAACTCCTTTCGCCTCTTTCATGCCTTAGTTGAGCAGGGATCCAGGAACAGCACAACGTTTTGGTGTTTTTCTTTTTGCCAAATCACCTTCCTGAGGCAGGTCTCTTTGCCTTTCTGATTCAGGGACTTCTGTTCTGAACCTGCTACATTGGAGGGGTTTCCCTTTTCTTTTACAGGACCTGGGCCCTTGTATGCTTGGGGGTGACTCCTGTATCTTGTTTCTCCTCTCAAGCTGCTGTTCTGGAAAATGATTGTAGAAATTCAGTTAAACTTGCTGTTAATGGTATTTCTGCGTTTTCCAGGACAGCAAGCTTACTTTCCACTCCACTCCCACTTTTTTTTTCTTAATAGTTTTGGTCATTTGCACAAGGGGAGTGGAAAAGGCTTTTCACTGTTCTCGTTGTACTTTCCATAGTAGAAGGAACAAGTCGTCGCTCTTATTGCTGTCATGGAAAATTCCCACAAATGCCGTTCGCAGTAAGTCCTAACTATGAATTTACAAATTATTATTATTATTATACAGGATTTATATAGCACCATCAGTTTGCTCAGCGCTTTACAATATAACGGGAGACAATACAGCAATAATACAATTCAATACAAGAGGGATAGGAGGGCCCTGCTCCTAGGAGCTTACAATCTAGGAGGTAGGGGCTAGTGGTACAAAAGGTAGTAACTGTGGGGGATGGACTGGTTGGAAGAGTAGAAGATTCCATTATTAGCTGAGGGCAGGATAGGCTTCCCTAAAGAGAGAGGTTTTCAGAGATCGCCTAAAAGTGAGCAGAGTAGGCGATAGTCTGATAAATTGGGGTAGAGAGTTCCAGAGGATGGGGGAAGCTCTGGAGAAGTCCTGGAGACGAGCATGGAAGGAGGAGACAAGGGAACTAGAGAGCAGGAGATCTTGCGAGGAGTGGAGAGTACGGTTTGGGTGATATTTTAGAGACACGATTGTTGATGTAATCTGGGGCAGAGTTATAAATGGCTTTATTTATTGTTAATGTTTTGAATTTTATCCATTGGGCAATGGGAAGCCAGTGGAGGGATTGGCAGAGAGGGGTAGCAGATACAGAACATTTAGTAAGGTGGATAAGTCTGGCAGCAGCATTCATGATTGACTGATTTGTACTCCCTCCTCATTGGCCTACCTAATCACAGGCTATCCCCTCTTCAGTCTATGTATTTCCTATTCATTGCAGTTCTGTAAAGCTTTACTTTTTTATCCTTTGTAGTCCTTGAGTCATCTGATCTGCACTTGAAGAGAGAATAATTGTTTAAAATGGTTCTTTAAATATCCATAAACTTGGTTGTTGTCTTTTACGTCTGCCACTGTAAATGTAATGTCATATTTGTAATTTTTTTTTTTCTTTTTAATTATTCCAGGTACGCAATAACAGTGTGGTATTTTGATGCGGATGAAAGGGCTCGAGCTAAAGAAAAGTATCTGACAACAGGTAATTTATTTCAAGTTGCTTAACAAGCTTTTTAACCTAACTTTGTTGATCCAGATGTTGACCACTGTTTGTTTAAAAGTGTGTGGTTTTGTTTGAAATTTGTTGAAAATACATACCCAATCATGTCAAGTGCTTTTGTAGCTTATGTTCCTTTAAGTATAAGAATGAGTGTTATGTAATGGTGCGTGATTTTGATCTTCATGTAGGTAGCATTCTAAATAATGGTAGCTCTCATAAAGCTGTAGATTATCTAGAAAATGAAACCATGATCAGCCATATGGTTTTTAGTCAGGTTTTTCTGTACATGTGCTTCCAAGTCAGGGTAGTCTGAATCTGTGTTCAACCAGAATCCTTGAGGGCCACAAACTAGGCAGGAGTTTTGGGAAAATGATAATTTTTCTTAATAAGTGAGCCTGTGCTTTGCTAATGCACCAAGAACACTTCACCTTGCCTTTATTTCTTGGCCACAGGGAGCAATGGAAAGAAAGGCCTAAATAAGCTTAAAGTCATGACCCCTCTACCTAGGACAAGCCTAGGTACTTGAGCAGCCAAAAACCAAGCTGTCTGTTACATGGGAGTAAAGGGGGTCACACCAAAATAACGAGTGTAACTCTTTGCTTCTGGCAGCTGAACAGATCAGCTGGAGACAACAGGATACTAAATATATGGTGCAGGTAGGACTGATTATCAAGAAAGGAATAGACTAAGAGAACTTCAAAAGTGTACTTAAATTTTGTGACAGTCTGGATTGGAAACGAGTTGCAACATACATGGCCATTTGCTTGTTAGATGCTGCAAATACAGTATATTGTATTAAAAAGTTTTAGTAACCTTTTTAAGAAAACCTTAACTAAACTGAAAAAACCCACCTATGCATACAGTATTAGAGCTGTCTGTACTGGTGATAGTAATACTTCACATAACTTAGGAGAAATAGTTCAATATTTTTATGAGTTTTTAAGGTGGATCCCTATCAGTGTAATCCTCCCATTTGCAGAACTTGCAACTTCCCTGTTTTATCTATGGAAGACAAAACTACGTTAAATGCCCAAATGACGTTGTTAGAACTTCATACTGTGGGGGCAATCCAATTATTATCCCATAATGAAGCGCCATCGGGAGAATTTGGGAAGGATTGTGAACCATCAAAAATCAAATTTCAAGCCTGCACAGAAAGTGCAGTTCTGGGCTTCCAGATCAGTTCAGTGGAACAGCATATCTTCCTACCAGAGGAGAAGAGAGTCAAAATTCAGAATGTTGTATCTCTATTGCAGTCCAATCAGATGTTGCCAATAAAAGAAGAGTCATATCGGCTTTGGGAACTCTGACCTCAACTATGCCAGCCATTCGATGGGCAAGTCTTCACTGCAGACCACTCCAAAGTTTTCTTCTTAAGGTGGGGGATCAAAGTCAAGAATCCTTGGATGCAGTAGTGAAGGTTCCTACCAAGGTAAAGAGGTCCCGTTTGGTGGCGGAGGGATCAGATGATCCCGTCAAGAGGTCTCCTATGGTCTTTTCGAGTCAAGAGAAGAATCATGACAGATGCCAGTTCCTGGGGTTGGGGGGCCCATTGGGGGGAAAAGTTGGCACACGGAGACTGCTCCAGAATAGAAGCCAGTTCTTGCAGGAAGGAGCGGATAAGGATCTGGCAATTGGTACTCTCCAAGGTGCAGGCGACTGCCTTAGGAGTATTTTTGGAAAAAAATCTATCTCTTCAGAGCCCTTGGTCTCAAGATCTTTAAAGCACTTGTTCGATCCAGGCCAGCCCCTCCAAAGAATTTCCCAAAATGGGATCTGTCTGTGGTTCTACAGGCATTGACAAAAGAAACGTTCGAACCATTAGAATTGGTTTCTCTGAAAAATTCAAGATTGTATTTCTAGTTGCTATTACATCTGCACGTAGAATCCGTGAACTCTATATGTCAGGGAATCTTTCCTGTCTATATTTCCAGATAGAATTATTTTTAGGACGGAGCAAAGTTTTTTTTTTTTTTTTTTTTTTTTTTTTTTTTTTTTTTAAGTGGCGTCAGTTCTTAGGACATTGTTCTTCCAACACCAATCGTTAGATACCTGGAAGTTACAAAAGAATTTAGATCTTCGGACTTTCTATTTGTTCTTTTTTCAGGCAGCAGGAATGGTCACCAGGCTTTTAAGGGTTCTATTGCTAGATGACTGAGTTTGGCTATTTTGGATGCTTACTCCAGGATGGATTTGTCTCCCCCTGTTGGGGATCTGGGCACATTCTACTAAAGCTCTTGTAGCCTCTTGGGCAGAAAAGGATGGTGCCACCCCAGAACAAATTTGCAAAGCAGCTACTTAGTCAAGCTTTTCGACTTTTGTTCATCACTATAGATTGGACCTTCTGTCAGCAAGCGATCAGGCCTTTGGCAGAAAGGTCCTACAGGCTGTTGTTCCTCCCTAAATTGGTAAATATCGTTTATCCTCTCAGGTACTGTCCTGAAAAACATTTTGGGAAAATTCAAGTTATAGTTACCAGTAACTTGTTTTCCAGGAGTCTTTCAGTACAGTAACGACCCTCCCTTATTCTGTTATTAAGATATTATGTTTGTGTTCCAGCTTGGGCTGGAGGTACTCTGCTACAACTGACAAGCTGTGGGGAGAAGTCTCCTTTTGAAATTTTGGTGGAAGAGGCGTTTCCTATTGTCTCTTGGGATGAGCCACAATCTCTCTCAGGTACTGTCCTGAGACTCCTGGAAAACAAGTTACCAGTAAGTCTAGTTTGAATTTTCCTTTTTTTTTTTTCTTTATATGCAGCTCCTGCAATGTAGGAAGCCAGGCCATTATCTCATTAGAGACAGCTAGGGCATTTGACAGTGTAGAGTGGCCCTGTCTTTGGGAGGTTTTGCACTTATTTGATTTGTGAGGAAATTTTGTAAGATGTGTTCAACTGTTATATTCCACTCCTAGGGCTTGCATTCAGGTTATAATGGCATTATTTTGGAATTTTTTTTTCTATTCAACAGGGTACAAGAAGGGGGTGTCCGCTCCCCCCTCTTCACTTTTCTCTGGCTATGGAAACCCTAGTGGAAAGCTATTAGAGTAGAGTATCTGAATTTTATATCAGCATTTAAGAGAAAAGATAGGGAGGAAAAATTTGCTATGTATTCAGACATGCTGTTATTTATAGGGGATATATGGGCCGCTCTTTGGAATCACTTTTGGCAGTGATAGGGACACTTGACTCCCATTTTGGTTTCATTAGTTGGGATAAGTCAGTCCTGATCCCATTAGATAATCAGAATGTTCATCCACCAATGGCTACCCCGTAAATTAAGGTAGTGACAGCCTTTAAATATCTAGGGATCATTATACATCCAAAAATGGAAGACTGTTTACACTATCATTTGGCTCTGATGTTTAGATCTTGAATTAAAAGCAAAACTGGGAATAAACTACCACTCTCAGTTGTAGGAAAAGTAAACGTAAAATGAGTTGAGCCCCACAGCTAATCTATGTTCTACAAAGCTCCCCTATTTGGATTACTCGAACATGATTCAAAAAGAACGACTCTTTTTCGCACCTTGATTCAGAAAAGAAAAACAGCCCAGAATAAAAGCTGCTGAAAAATGGATACTAGCCATTAAAAGGGGCCTTGTTTGAAGCCCTTTAGGGAAGTCCTTAAGAAGTCTTTACCATCCCTAGTAGAAAAGGATTGGAGAAGAACCTGGGACTGCTGTTGGAAGAGTCTTGGTAGCGTATCCTGGTACAAGTTGAAACTATACCTTTATTTATAATAGAAACAAAAATTTTTTGCTCTTTTTTTTGTTTATAGTGCAATAAATAAAACACCCCAGTGGCGATTAAATAACACCAAAAGAAAGCTCTATTTGTGTGAAATAAATGATAAAAATTTCATATGGGTACAGTGTTGCATGACCGTGCAATTGTCATTCGAAGTGCAACAGCGCTGATAGCTGAAAATTGGCCTGGGCACGAAGGGGGTATAAGTGCCCAGTAGGCACGTGTTTAAAGAACACTTGATATACCAACACAAGCTTTGGAACCTTTGCTCTCTGTCCCTGGTCTGGCTACTTTGGCGGTGCAAAGTATGATAAGGTGTTAATGCCTCCTCGACCACTAGTAATTGTTGATGAGTAGTAGCGAGAATTACTAAGTTGTACACAATGTCTTATGGCCTATCATGCTGAAGTAAAAATTTTTTTTTTTTTTTTTGGTGGTTATGATTGTAGTGTGTTTGTTGTTTATTGTGTTTGTTGTTTGAATATAGGTTAGACTGAGGTTTGGGTGTTGTGCCTTGGCTCATTTAATTACTGAAATATAACATATGGTTGTGTATGTTTGGTTACAAAACTAAAAACTATAATTTAAAAAAATACAATCTATAATAAAAACATAATTTTCCATGTGTCATGTTCACACCAGAAGGCTGTTATTTTACTGCGTTTCACGGAGGGTGCAATATTAAGCAACATGCTAGCATAATATTGCACCTCTCTGGATGGCCTTGCAGGTCTTCGCACAGCAAGAGTGTATGCACCTCACATAAAGTTCATACAAAAAGAAAGGAAGCTGTGTAATGCGATTACCACCCACTGCAGTTTAGTGTGTAGGGCAGTGTGAATGGGTCATAAAGGTTTGTCATTTATGTAAATTATGTAGCTCATAGTCTCATTGACATGCAGGGTGCTCAGTACAGCAATGGTGGTAGCATCAATTGTAAATGACAGTGAATGCCCTTATTTAATATTACACAATTTTATGTTAAGAATCACAATTTTCTACCTTTTTTACTTCTTCTTTAGGAGAGAAATCTGTAAGGATTGAGCTAAACAAGTCATCAGATGGAATTGTGAAAGAAGTCTGAAAATGGATTCAGCGGCAATTCTTTTATTTTATGTAGACAATATTTGCCAAGTGGCCTGGTAACGGTGTACTTGCTGAATGGCAGCATGTACAGTGGAGCCCCTTCAAAGGCGTGTTATGTTGTGAATGTAAATAATAGTAAAAAAAATGTATTATAATTCTATTTTATCTGATGTACCAAAAACTGAAATTTCATTACTGGTCTAATGCACACAGACCATTCTCGACAATGCTTTTATGAAAAATATAAACAGACTATATATATATCTGTGCATAACTGCACTCCTTAATTAAATGCTGACTTTTGTTTTTATTAACCTGATCTTGAATTTTTCCAAAAGTAGACAATGTACTCGTATCCATTTATTTTGTTACAAGGTACAATGTATGAAGTAACTTAATAAAACAGAGTTCATTCCTACATTTAACATTTTAGCACAAAAACTGCTTTATTAAAACCTTTTCAAAACTAACAATCTATGTACAACTGCCCTGACTGTATTTTAACTCATTTGCATTTTTAATTCTACAATTTTAGGTGAATTTACTAATTATTAAAAGTTTAAATATACACTTATTGGATGATCTGCTGGAAAGAACACAATATTGTATTATTCAGTTGTGAGTTTTTATAGGTTCAAAGTGTGTTTAAAATAAAATAACAAATATTGCAGAATTGTTTTCCATGGAAAAAGTCTAAACTGCATTTGTTCATTTTATTTCCTAAAGTACACCTGTTATGAGAGAAATTTCCTTATTGTTATTGTTGCTGTTGTCCTCCTTAAAAATGTTATGGCCTGGCTTCTATATTTGACTCACAGACCCCGGCCAAACAAAAACCAGAGAGAAGCCATAATTTCTGTACTTGCTGTGGACACCCACATATTTCTCCCATGACAAGTGTCCTCTAAAAATGTGACTGAACTTTTAATTGTGAGAAATATGTGAATAAAGAAGTTAATATATTTTACTGCCATGTTTAACTTGAGTACATATTAACAGTTGTGGTTGTATTACCTCAGTTAATGGATAGATCATGTTCACATAAATACCTGATATTCCAGATAATATTAAATTCTGATCCTCAAGTACCTCCAATAATGTTTTTGGAAATTCTTTAGTAGCAGATGGCTTAAGTACTGACGCAGTGAAAGAGACTTATTTATCTGAACATGAATAAAGAAAGCCTCAAAATATGACTTGATGGGGATTGTGATTGCTGAGACAAAAAAAAAAAAAAACATTCAGCTTTATTCCTTTATATCCACACTTGAGCACTGGAAGATTTTACCCCTTTTATGACCAGGGCATTTTTTGTTAATCAACACTGCAGTACTTTAAGGCTGTCATGCAATACTGTACACAAATACAATTTTTATCTTTTTTTTTTTAATGCAAATAGAGCTTTCTTTTGATGGTATTTGATCACCACTGGGTTTTTTATTTTTTGTGATATAATCAAAAAAGATTGAACATTTTTGGGGGAAAACAATTTTATACTTTCTGGTATAAAAACACATCCAATAAAATCAAATTTATAAATTTAGGCCAAAATGTATTCTGCTACAAGTCCTATTTAAAAAAAAAAAAAAATCCCAATAAGTGTATATTTTGTTTACATGAAAGTTATAGCAGCTACAGACTATAGTATATACAGTTGTATTAAAAATAGCAGTGTGTTTCAAAAAAGTGAGTACAGTTCAAAATCCTTATGAAAACCTGTATTTCCATACACTCGCATGCATTGGGAACACTGCACAGTCTATTCCAAATCAAAACATGAAGAAAAATGTTTCAAATTTGTTATTCTTTTACAGAAAGTGAAGAAATAGCAGTGTCTGCATTTTTCTTTACAAACTCAAACCTTTACCATGGTTTCTGAGAACTGCTTCACATCTGTGTTGCATGGAGTCAACCAACTTCTGGCACCTGTGAACAGGTATTCCAGCCCAGGACGATTGCACTACATTCCACAATTCTGCTGCATTTCTTGGTTTTACCTCATAAACAGCATTTTTGATGTCGCCCCACACGTTTTCTGTTGGTTTAAGATCCGGGGATTGGGCTGGCCACGCCATAATGTTAATCTTGTTGGTCTGGAACCAAGATGCCACTTCCTTACTGTTGTTTTTTGGGTCATTGTTGAAACACCCATTTCAAGGACATTTCCTCTTCGGCATAAGGCAAACTGATCCATGCTTCCTGGTATGTGATAAATAGGCCCAACACCATGAGAAATGAGTATGAGAAATATCCCCATGTCACGATGCTTGCACCACCATACTTCACTGTATTCACAGTGTATTGTGGCTTGAATTCAGTGTTTGGGGGTCTTCTGTCTAACTCTCTGTGGCCCCTAGACCCAAAAAACCACAATCTTACTTTCATCAGTCCACAAAATGTTGCGCCATTTCTCTCTATGCCTGTCAATGTGTTCTTTGGCAAATTGGAACCTCTTCAGCATGTAATTTTTTCAACAATGGGACTTTGCGGGGGCTTCTTGCTGATAGCTTGGCTTCATATAGGCATCTTCTAATTGTCACAGTACTCACAGGTAGCTTTAGACCTTCTTTGGTCACCCTGGAGCTGATGATTGGCTGAGTCTTTGCGACTTTGGCTATTCTTCGATCCATTCAAATGGGAGTTTTCTATTTTCTGCCACATCTTTCTGGTTTTGGTTGACATTTTAAAGCATTTGAGATCATTTTAGCTGAGCATTCTATCAGTTTCTGCACTTCTTTATGTTTTCCCTTCTCCAATCAACTGTTTAATCAAAGTATGCTGTTCTTCTAAACAATTATCCGAAACGACCCATTTTACTCTGATTTTCAAAGAGAAATGCACTATACCCAACATGTACATTTGCTGCCTTTATCCTTAAATAAAGGCCACCTGTTTTTTCACAGACTGATTGACCTCACCACTGCTATTATTTTGAACTTGCCCCTTTCAGTTAACCACTTGCCCTCCTGAGGATCTACCCTCCTTCCTGAGCAGGCCATTTTTTGCGTTACGGCAAACTGACTGCGTTACATTAACTGACAACTGCATTACTTTAACTGAAAATTGCAACACTGCACCCAAATTAAATTTTATGTCCTTTTTTTCCAACGAATTGAGCTTTCTTTTGGTGGTATTTGATTGCCTGTGAATTTTTTATTTTTTGCGCTATAAAAAAAAAAAAGACTAACAAGTTTGAGAAAAAAACTATTTTTGACATTTTGCTATTAAACGTCCAGTAAAAAAAAATTAAAAAAAATAAAAATCAAATTTCATCATAAATTTAGGGCAGAATGTATTCTGCTACGTCTTTGCGAAAACAAATCCCAATACATGTAAATTAATTGGTTTACGTGAAAGTTATAGCTTTCACATATGGCAGAATATATACTGGGATTTTATTTTTACTAGTAATGGCGGTGATCAGCCAATTGTAGCAGGACTGTGGTGGGCATTCTGAGATTGGGGGGAACTGACATCCACCCTAAAAATGGGTGGAACATGTAACATGTTCCAAAGGTGAAATTATCCTTTAAACTTTTTTTGGTTTTGTTTTAACTTTTTTTTTTTTACTATTTTGTCTTTAAATACTTTCATCAGAGTAGTTTCAGTGTCACCATAGTAACACTACTGTTCTGAGAGGGTGATCAGGTACATGTATATTTTTGTTACCACTTTGCTGTTACAATCATCTTCTAGTAACAGCAAACAAAGTTTTCAACTGTCATGAACTGGTTACAGCATGCAGCGCGCCCCTGAACTGGAGCAAGCAGAATGATGTACATGTACTTGATTTTGCCTGCATGTGCTGCCCAGCTGCAGTATATGTACTGCAGCTCGTCAGCAAGTGAATATTTTATCTTGAATACCTAGTGACTTATGTAGAGAAGAATTAGTATTTCTTGGAAAACTGCTTTATGTTCATGGTGGTATTTGTCATTTGTTTTGTGTTTGCATTTTGTTTTGATGGTTTTTTTTCCTATGCTTTGGGGCTTTTTTTTTTTCTGGCCCCCAAGCAGATTAAAAAAAATTAGTTAAGCAGCTTTGGATGCAAATATATCTGATGACCCCTGCAGTAATTCTTTGTCACCACTAGATGTCCTCAATCTTCTATGTTGAATGATATTTAGTGACATTCAGCCCAGCAGAATTAAAGCGGTATTAAACCCAAAGCAAAAATGTAATATATTGTAGCTTAACAGTCACTAGATGCTGCATTTGTTTTGTTTTTTGAGGCTTTTTTCTCCTGATCAGTAACACACCTCCTGTATTGAAGTGCCCCCTCTCTGGATGAATGAGCACAGGGAACACCTTACCATATACCATATATATTGGAAGGAGGGAAGCCTAGAGCTGGGCTTTAATGGCAAAAGGGACTGATGTGAATGTACAACATATTTGTAAAGCGCTGCAAAATTGACGGCGCTATATAAGTACCTGAAATAAATAGTAAATAAGTCCACCTGTACAAAATATATACACAGTTGTGCTCAAAATAATAGCAGTGTGTTGAAAAAAGTGAATAAAGCACAAAATCCTTCTAATAGCTTTTATTTCCATACACACAAATGCATTGGGAACACTACACATTCTATTCCAAATCAAAACGAAGAAAAATATATCAAATTTGTGTTGTTCCTCGAAAGAAAAGTGAATATTAGACTGTTCGAAAAAATAGCAGTGTTTGTATTCTTCTTTACAAACTGAAACATTCACTATATAAACTGAAAAATGTTTGAAGATTTTGCTTTCCTTTGAATCACTTAATTAATATTTAGTTGTGTAAGCACTGTTTCTGAGAACTGCTGTACATCTGTGTTGCATGGAGTCAATCAACTTCTGGCACCTGTGAACAGGTGTTCCAGCCCAGGATGATTGGACTACATTCCACAGTTCTTCTCTATTTCTTGGTTTTGCCCCAGAAACTGCAATTTTGATGTCACCCCACTCTTGTTCGTCTGGAACCAAGATGTTGCACGTTTACTGGTGTGTTTGGGGTCG